GATTCCCTGCGATCCCGTGACCAGGAAACATGGTCATTTTGTGGGAGGTTTTTATGTCTCCACAAGGGTTTAAAGTGCTCCTCCAGGTCCATGTTTACTAAAGCAAAGCAAGCTGTGATGACTCTAGTTGAGGCCACAGTGGTCTGTGTGGTGTGAGAGGGGAGATAATCACCACACAGCCTGAACAACACTGTCATCAGCTTGATTCAGATCCCACATAAGACTTTTTCTCACATCGGATCCTCGGCGCTGCTGCGGTTGCACTACCACTGAGAGGTAAAGGAAGAGTGAGATGCTCACAATGAACTTCCCCTCAGCGTTACCTTATGTGGTTGAGGACTAGCAGTCTTAATGGTGGAAGACAGTGCTGGGCTGGGGGAGTAATGATTTTAGCTTTAAACTGAATTACCAATCGATTTGGCCTGCAGATCAGAACACAGCTTGCGAGCCGACTGTGCGGACATGCTGTGTTGCGGAGTCGCTTTACAAATTGACTGCTGCACACATAGGAGGAAATATATCTATATATGTCAGCCCGGCACTGCATGCACGGCGGCCTGCTGGGTGTGAATAGGCCTTGTGATCACCAGAGAGGCAGCTGCAGAGTGTTTATGCCGAACTGGATTGTAAATGAGCATGTATATGGTGAGGAAGACCTCGGGAATCAGAAGACAACTTTCCCAGAGCCGACCGCAGAGCCCCACCTGGACGGCGAGAATCGGTGCTGCTCTTTTGAGTCCCTCGTCCCCTTCTGTCAACGAGAGGCTCAAATCTGGCAGCAGGCCGAGCTTTAAAAGGAAATTGCATAAAATAATACATAGCAAATTACAGCAAGTTTCTCGGGGCTGGAGGTTGAGTTTTAACTGCGGTGTTTTCGCTGTCTTTTATGGAGACCACTGGAGAACATATTAGCACAAGTGTCATGTTCCAGAGAACACATGCTAGGCTGTGATTACTGAGCTCAAGCTGAACTGTAAAATCGCTTGTCAGCAGTTGATTTGTTTCTGGAAAAGCCCGGGCTCTTGATTGAATTAACTTGGTGGTTTTCAGTGGGGAGCAAGAATGTGTCCAATTTGGTTACCTGCTGACAGACGGCACCGGTATTGTGACTTTTTGATCGCACCGTAAAACCGAGACGCAACATGATTTTTAAAGAAAATGCAGATCGGAGGAAAGCAGTTTATTTTCCCAGTATAGCTTTATCATTTAATCACCTCTGACAAAGCAATATTTGATGTTCAGATAGAAACGTATGGACTGGTATGGCACGTTTTTCCCATTTATATGCATGCAGAGGAGGCAGCGGTGCTATCAGAGGCTCTTCAGGCGTATATTCTGTGGATCTTGGTTGTCCAGTTCATGTTTACTGATAGGATCTGTGTGGTTACTCCATCATATTGGGGGTGAGATGGGGTCATGTTGGTGCAATATTGTGTTCGCCCTGAGGTTGAAATAATTTTGTTTGCTGTAATAGCTGTAAAACACCTTATTTCCCACTGGACATTCTTTCATACAAATATTCCTGCACTGGGATTTAAAAGGTAAGAAGAAAAAAAAAATCGAGCATCAAAATTACACTGGCTTTAGTCAGAAAAAAGCAAAAAAAATGTTGTTTAAATAGTGATTGCAACTGTACTATCTGACGATGAATAACTGAAGCATTCACAGTAATAATAAAGAATATCTTTGAAGTATTACATCAGTTAAAAGAAAAGCCGTACGGCACATTTTAGAGAGAAACCTAGAAATTCATATTCATGCCATTCACTGCGAGGCTGCTTGGTTTTTCTGTCTGCCTGCGATCATGCAGACAGTGGAGTCTTTTCACGTCAGGATCAGGGTCCATGTAAGCTCTTAATTCTCTCCTGTTAAACAGTTACAGAAGAAATGTGCTGGTGGTGCAGAAGGAGAAATAAAAACACTGAGTGCCCGGCGTTTGCTCTGCCATGCAGCCATGTCTGCTCTTAGTGCGGCTCATATTACAGAGCACCTTTAACCGTGAATTCACTCTGTTAATAAAAGCCTTCAACCCCAAAGCTATTTTAAAGCACCCTTTTCTACGGCTTCCCTTCTGCCAGAAGAGGCAAAGTACATGACCAATTTTTTGGGGGGGGAAATGGGAAGAAGTGAGTTTTCTTGAACGTATGAAACGTCAGCGGGCGGATTGTGGCTGCAGTGCTTTACTAGACATTTAAGATCATTTTGATGACTTTCAGGAGTATTTATGTGCAATAATCAATCGATTCAACTCTTTAGATGTCCCCAATTTTTCATTTGTAATAAATCCCTGCTTCTAAAATGTTTCTGCATGTGGGCACACACGCCGTTGTTTGGCCCCTCACATGGCAGCTCTCTTCTAGCTCGTCACATCATTTTAATTACAGAGCCTTCATTGTCTGCGCTGACCCATTTTAGCGTGGTCCCTTACCGTCAGCTGCGCGGCCCTTCCAATCACACTTAATTTCATCTGGCATTTGACTCAATCGGCACCGCCTCAAACATGAGCGTACAGTGCCCCCCTCCCCTCAAAAATGAATTGGGAATAACAATAACAATCTCCACTCCCTGCTCTGGTCGTCCACCGAGGCCTCCGGCCCGACATGGTACAGCTTTTAATGGTGAAGATTGATACCAGTGTCTGGGGACATTTCTTGGGATGTTAGTCACAGTTCTCTGAGGAGATTCAGAACTGCTCTTAAAGGGCCCAGGAAATACAATAAAAAAAAAATGCCTCACAGAGACAGAGCCCAAAGAGTTTCACACTACTAATTGGCACTTGGACTTCACTTGATCATGTTTTCTCTAATGGCGCTGATGTGATTCGGATCAATGTCCGTGCTTACAGTGTGTAACTCAGCCACACTCCTCAGTGTGATGTTTGTTTTAATGAAACATCGCTTCCTGATTTACAAACGTGTACATTGCTTGTGAAGTTGTCATCTGCATCACCCAGTGATGTGTAACACGGCGAGTAATTGAGTTGAAAATGTGTGACTGTAAGTTTATTTTCTCTTTTCTTTCAAGGCAACAGGCAGGAAAGTGTGCAAGCATCTATTTTAGTTTAGAAGAAGCAGAAATGTTTGAGGTGTATCTTACTTGTGTGGAATTTCCCCAAAGTCTCTAGAAACTATTTACAGTGAAGAGCAATTGTCAGCTCACTCTTTAAAATCTTTTTCCCATCCAGAGAGACACAGGGACAGAAGAAACAGAGACAGCCCTGCACGAAGCCCTATCTCCCCCCACAATCAGAACAATGTTCCTAGTGCTTGAATAGAGAGGGATATCTCTGAGACTTCAATTTATTATCTAAAAGAAGAAGGGGGACGGAGTAACACTTCCAAGATAAGCCCAGCGTAAGGTTAATTACCAGCCGAGTGGCTGACGTAACCCAGCCATGTCATGTCTCAAAGTTACACACAGCTGGGACATGAAGGAGCGCTGGCAAATGACAGTTGTTCCTCACCGGAGCCCACGAGTCTCCGTGTGTGAACGTATACGTTTGTATGAACATTTGTGCAAACATGTAAACCCCAGTGCTCGAGTCAGATATAGTTTAGTGGGGCAGCTCCGGTTAAGATGGCACCGGAGGCCCAGACAGCTCAAACCACCTGCTTCAGCAACTGCTAGCAGAGCTTGTGGCTCCCTTCTCATTGGTGCGTAACACTGTTAACATTGCTGCTGACTCCCCACTCTCTCTCCAGGGCATAAACTAATTAATGGATACCATTCGCAGTTGATTAGCAGCAGTTCTTTCGGTAATTACATTCGCATACTAACCACTCAGAAGAAAAGGAGAATAGAAAAAAAAACACAAAGGGCTAGAAAATATATTAATGCACTTCTCAGTTCGCTCTGATCTTAATTTGTTTCCACTATTGTTTGGCTTCTGCTCTGATAAGAAGCCCTCCCTTTTTTTTCTTCTTCTCTCTCTTTTTTTTCTCCCCTGGTCTATTGGAGGTTTTTTTTTTTTTTTTGTGTCACTCACTATGTTTTAAGAGAGTGACTTTGTAATAAACACACAAAAAAGATTAGTGCCGAGCTTTGTTGGAAATAGGTGTTCTCAGTGGAACCTCGTGAAGACGCAAACACGCCGTGATTCTTTCTCCTCTGAGCTGTGTAGGCTGGGTTATGCTCTCCTCACTCACACAGAGGTGCATTGTGCTCCTGGGCCCAGCTGCTAGCCCATAATTCTTCATTCTATGTCCCATTGTTCCTACCTGTCAGCGTGGTTGTGTCTCCAAAGAAAGGAAGTGGCTGCCATTTTGCCAGCAGGGCTATGTGTGGGTCGGGAGGGGCGGAGGGGATGTTGTGAAAACATGTTATTTCTTACCAAAGTACAGGGTTTTAATAGCTCATCAGCAGCCTTAAACACTAATGTGTCTTTGCAGCGCGGCGCTCATAAATCCGCCACCGCCGACTTTGTTCTACACAGTTAATAATCTCATATTAACATGTAAATACAGGTATAGAATTCACTTTCATTTGTTGCACTGAAACCGGCTGGAATGAGATTCTTTGTGAGCTCGGAGTCAGTCAAATGAGTTGTTGAACCCGGCTCCTATTGACCCAAAATGTACTCCACCCATATTAAAAACACCTCCACCTCCTTATTTCCCCTCAGTATCCCTCCTCTCCCATAGGTTATTTGAAGTTAATAACCTGCCACTGCATCTTGATACTTGGCTTTGTGATGCAAACATATCCTTAATTGCCATCCCATAAGAGCTGAATAGCCGGACCAGATTCTCATTACCCCGGTTTGAATTGGCCAGGGCCTCTCACGTGCCTCTCGTCGTGTCACAATAATGGCAGAGTGGCACAATGCGGTTGTGCGCGCAGAGAAAAGGGGTTAACGACAGTGTGCAAACATTCAGAGCCAAGTGTGACAATCTGTTTTTGAGTGACAGGTGTCCGTTATGAAAGCGGAGCCGCTCGAAGTTTGCGCTTGATGTTATCTGGACGCTCGTGATCTGATTGTGTCTTTTTGTCTTCACTTGCAGTTCCAGAACAACAACAACTACATGAACATGGCCGAGGCGAACGGTGCGCTGCTCGCTGCTGGGGATGTGAGTACACCTTACGTTTTCCGTATTCAGGCAATCCAGTTAATGCAAACAATACAGGAAGGAGTAAAGGTTTTCTTTTTTTTTTCCTTTTTCTTACTTGCTAACACCCATATTAAGTTTTCAGTAGTTAGGCCTCATCGTAGGTGTTAATGTGAGTCATTATTTAAGGATATGTGGATGGATAAAATTAGCCACAGTGCCAGAAAAAAGTGTTATATTTGATGTAATGATGATTTATTATTTTTTTCATTTTCCTCACAGCCAACTTATTTGTCACCTTAAATGTTGCTATGACTGATAGAAGAGTTTACGGTTATAGATGTAGCCAATTGAGCTCGGCTCCCCATATATTAGCTTGTACTCACTTCTGTGAGCTGATGCTAATGCGATCTGACTGACCCGACCACACTCTCTAAGATGAAGTGATATCTCAGAAAGCCGAGCGTACAAACACCTGTTTTCTTCCTCTTTTTATTTTTTTTTTAAGAATAATGAAGAAGCATAAAGCGATTCCACAGCCAGCCTTCCATGTCTCCTGCAACCTTCGAATGCTGGAATAATTGTACAGATGCATTAAAAGAAAGAAGGGAGTAGTTGTTTCTCTGGAGGTATATAAACCGCCTCTGTGAGCCATAGTAGTCCTAACAGTGAGCTAAATTTACCCATTTTATTCCCCCTCCACCCACTCGGCTGCCCTGTCATTAGAGACAAGTGCACCAAAAATACCCGTCATCCTCTGTGGTTCAAACGGTCCAATCTCATCCAGTTTAGCAGGGGGAGATTGATCTGGCTTCAAAACCCACAGCAAAGCATCATTACACAGCTCCAAAATACTGAGATAGATGTCATTGTTAACCTTATTGTTTTCATTCTTGTCAGCTGGGCAGCAGGGATGCAACTGTGACATTCAAGGCAGCTTCGCGAGAAGTGTCTCGAGCGCGTGACCTCGTGTTCATAAAGTGGCCGCTTCACAAAGCCGCAGAGTATTATGGAAGAAGTCTAATTTTCCCCCACATTTACGCTGAGTGGGCGCATCCTCTGTATCCACGGGCTGCCGAGGCCCACTGCAGCAGGGACCACGCCGACACAGGCTGCTTGGAGAGCGTTCAGCCCCCAGCTGTGAGGGCCTACTGTGGCAGTGAAGGGAAAAAAGGGGGGAGGATGGGCTGGAGGTGGAGGCGGTGGTGGTGGGAGGAGGAGGAGGGGGGGACTCCTTGATAAAAACAGCCCAGCTCATTTGCATTTTATCAAAAGGAACAACTGTTTCCAGTGTTAGGGCACAGATGGTATTGTGCTTAGAAGGGAAAGAATGAGAGAGAAGGAGTCTTAAGCATAGATTTTTTTTTTTTTTCCTTTCAAGCGCTGGAGTGTCCAAGGTATTGTTTGTTGCAACCTGAGCTGAAGTGAGATTAAAGTGACTTCCACTTTGAGTTGTGAGGTTTCACACTATCTCCGCTGTAATGCTATATTAATCTTCTTAATGTGTCTGGCTTGTGTTGTGGGTACAGTAGGGAAGGAAGTATCCTTTATGAGGGCTCCGTGATAAACAGCTAACTTTGACAGCGCAGTTAAATTTATGCCGCCACATTTGGTTGCCTGTTGTTTTCAAATCAAACCGTAGGTATATTGTATTAAAAGACACTGCTTTTATTTTGTCTTCTATGAGGATAGACTCCCATTAGTGGTAACTGGTGTGGTAACTTGAGAAAGTTTCATCCTCTAGAGCAAACATTTCTTTCTTCCAAAGTTGTCATAAATACAGACGGCTTGCTTTACTGCAAATAGAAACCTGTTTACATCCAGCAACTATATGTTTACACATACGGTATATTTAAAATTGCACCCGGTACGTGTTGTTCAAAAAGGCCGAATGCTTTTACTTCAGAGCAGCAGACTTGTATTTGCTGTTTGGATGGCCGGTGTATCATTTACCTTATGCACTTAGAGGATGAGATAAGATGACCTTGGTGTGCCTGGTAAAGCATACATCCTAGCAGGGAAAGCTTGACTGCTTCCCTCAGGGAAAAGGATACTGTATACTGAGATTGTGTTCCACTCAGATGTATCACTTTACTCTCCCAATCAAATTAGAGTCATGTAATGAACTATAAATATGTAGAAATGGACTACAAATGATCCAAATTTGAAATAATGCTGATTAGGAGTGCCATGGTTGATGTTGTCATTTGAGTAGCTGCACTCTGCCTGTCTAGATATTTGAAACTGGATCCTCAATCCAGCCTCTATTGATTCTGAGGCCTATTATATGCAGTAATTGCATGCTGCTGCCTTTAACAAGTCTTGGTTATTGCATCTGTGAATTGCATTACTACGTTTATTGAAGGACTGGGACTATTGCCTGAAAAGCTTTCTCTTGCTCCATGTCCTGATATTGAAAGAGCACCATGGCATCGCAGATAAAACACTGGAGGGGAAAACTCACTGAGTCACATCCAAGTCACCTCCCTCTATGTTTCTATTGTTGTCAGGGTCTCATTTATTATATATAGAGTTAAAATAAGCTTCATATATTCTTTATAAACCAACATTATACTGTTTACTATAAGATTTTGTGAAAACTGCTTACACAAAAGTCTCTTTGTGTTGCATTTTTGTCCACAGTTGCAGCAGGACTGTTGGCCCTCCACTCAGTTATTATTACATTGGATTATTATTATCCCTGAAAAATTGCACACATACTCATAGTCTCTGGAGGATTAATCCGAATAACTTCAGCGGTCCCCAAACTTTTCCTACAGCACCACCATGACGTTGACATTTTTTCGTTTTTAGCGACATGTCTTGACACCTAAAACGTGGATTGCCATGAAAGACTACCCCGACTTTCCATCCAGCACCACCAGGATATTTCACAGGAGATAATCCAGATAAGTTTTCACTAATCCTGTGAAATATCTCAACATCTGCTAAATGGATTGGCGCAGAATTTTGTAAAGACAATCATGCTTCTCAGATGTCTGCTGCCACCATGAGGTTTACATTTGTGGTTTTTCGGTGACACATGGTTACACTGCAAAAATGAATACGTCGAGAAAGCTCCAAGTTTCAAGGCAAAACATTTTTGCTTTTAACTTTAAAAATTCAAAACTGAAAGTTAGCTTAGGGTTTTTTTTTCTTGTATTAACTTACTCTAAGTTATACTAACCTATTATTTTGCATTATGCCTATGCAGAATTTTAAGGTCGCCTTCATTTACAGATGATCTTTGAACTGTATGCACTTAAAATTACCAAGAATTTACCCTCAGTGCATTACAGTCTGGGATATTCTATATTTGTGAGCAAGTGCATAAACAATGTTCCCAAATAACTTGGTTTGATGACTCAAGTAGTCAACTGAGTGGACGTTTACTTCTTTTAATTCTTCAAACTAAAGAACACAAATCAACAGAATTTTTCAGGTTTATGATGAACCACAGATTAAGATTCAAAGTTGTCAGGACCGGCTCATCACACTGCATCTTTTGGGCATCTTTGACTCTCCCAGTTCATATCAGCACAAGTCAGGGTTTGAATTTGTAAACACTTTAGTTCAGGGTTAAATACCTGCAAATCCCATCCCCTCAGCTGTATTTTGTGTTAAGCACTAATTATCAGTTAAGGGCGTTAGTATACCAAGATATAAACATGCTCCACGTCAGTATGTTGGTGTTTTCATTGTGAACATGTTAGCATACTGATGTTAGCATTAGGTTTAAGCAGAATGCACAGTGTGTGAGGAAGTCATTATTGTATATTTACATGTGAAAGATAACTTAGTTGACTATTTTCAACATGGTCTAAACTAAATGAACACAGCAATTAGTTTTTTCCAGGCAGAATACAACAACTGTTTAGAATCATTTGCGGTACAGTATTGGCCGATGCAAATAGAGCACCTCCAATAGACAGTAAGGACCGGGGATTTCCAACACACCTGCTCAGGATACTCATGCTGAGGACATCAGGCCTCTCTGTTACAAGCCCTGCTCTGCCCCCACACCACTCAGCCCTGTAGCTGCCAATGAAAACACACACACACACACACATTATTCTTTCTCTTTCACTCTGTCTGTTGTTTTCTCTCTTGCCCACCCCTTAACATGTACATGCCTGCACATCCCAAGCCAGCATCTGGCTTGGCACTTGGCTCTGCTGAGCCTTTCAGAACAATTTAAATGGATAATCAGGCTGGTGATGCGAAGAAAGTGGATTGTGCATCTCTTAATCTCCGATCAGAGCCCCCTAAGCTGCTCCTGGTGCAGAATTAGACTGGCTTTATGCGAAATGACACCAGACAGTGTGCAACACTGTAACACTCTGTGGGTTCCACTAAAATCTGGCACCTCTTCCCTGGGGAGAGGGTCTTTTCTGCACAGACAACTGACATCTCCCATACCCTCGTATGAGACACAAACTCCATGTCTCCATTATCAGTGCCCCTGGTGTAGATGTTAATTTGTATCATCATTAACAAAGAGAGGCGATGCACACAAGCACAGTCTTTGATACTGATCTTGCTAAATCCTCCCTCTGCCACTGTGATTTTTTTTCTTCTTTCCCTCCACTTCCACACTGTTTAGCGGATACTAAACACCAACATTCCTCTCTTCCAAGTACATGTCTGTGTTTCATGAAAGGTCACGGTCATGCTTGTGCAGTTCTCCCACAAAAGCGGAGCTGACCTTAGTCGACCTTCCTCTTTGACATTTGTATCAAATCTCTAGGTTGCCTCTGTAATTCAGGCCACAATGCACCAGAATATAGGATCCAGTGGCCTATATACTGCTGTTCTGCCCTGATTTACTTCATACAGTGTAACACTTCAGGAAACCTACTTGCATCAGCAAATAGTATCCGTAGTTGAGCAAGAGCAAAACATGTAAGTGATGTTTCCCTGCGATGGCTTCACAGCCTGAGCCGTGCATCTGACTGGGGTGGACAAGGCAAGACTAAGACGGAGTGATAGTTTTTCTGTTGGAGAGATTATGATACTGCGCCAGTGTCTTCAGGTTGCTACATGATATGATCCAGATGAGACTTGGACCATAGATCTGAAAGCTGGCGTGGAGATCGACCCTGCTCCACAGGGGAAGTTGAAAAAGATGAATGAAGACTGTGATGATGGACGATCTCTGATGGTTTCCATGTGCTACTGGAACTTTTTGTCCATGACTCACGACAGTTTTGTTTTATTAACCTTATAAACACACGCTGAGTTTTGATTCACATGCTGCTGAACAGGCATTATTGTGAACTAACTTCCCGAGGTTTTCTTTTTTTTTTTGAGTGGGCTGAAGCCTAATATGACAGCAGAGGACTGATAGTAAATGGTTCCTAGTGAAGGTGCTCGTGATTTATTTTGCACTCTGTGAGCCAGAGGCCTGGGCTGTGATGAATATGACCTTAGCTCCTTCTGAAAGGAGAACTGATTCTCTAGCTGTGAAACAAGTACTGAAAAGTGAAACAGTGGTAGAGAGCAGGAAGAGAGAAAGAAAAGGGAAGAATAAAAACTCTATTAGCTTCCCCTGCCACTGGAATTCATCAGTGCTTGTCAAGACAGCTGCCCTGAGTAGGCAATGAATTAGTTTCAAGTGTCTGTGTGCTAAAGCAAGCAAGGGGAACATTAATACTCCCTAATCAAGGTCTGTGTTGGCATATTCCCTCCGTTGTCTCCCTTCTGTTATTCCATCCCCTACTGGAGACAGACAGACAGAGTCGAGGAAGGCAGGGTTGTTAGCTCGGCTTTTTTTTTTTTTTTTTGACTGCCGTTAACTCCGCTGGCAGATCTCAGGACTGTTAATGTCAGGTGTGTGTTAGCTAGCACAACTTCACCTCTGCTGGGGTTTTGGAGCTTGAGCACTATTTACACAGCACGCCGAAACTGCAAGGCACAGTATGATGCTTTACATGTGAGTAGATGCTGTAATGTTTTGGTACGAGTGAGTGAAAAGAGAAAGCGGCACCCCTTTCAAAGAAGCTTATCTCAAAAAGCGACGCGTGATCATCTTCAGGACCCTCAATCCGTCTGGGAATTAAATGCAGGTGTGTGAAAAGGTGAATCGACATGCGCGAGACTCATCCGGGGCCTGTTCAAATTGGTATAAGCGGCTGTTTACTCCTATTTTTGGCCAATTATTTTCATGCCAGGATTGTGTGAGAAATTTGAAATGGCTGATGAGGACGCCGGAGGCAGCTTAACACGTAAACACGGCTGTAATAGTGACCCAGGGACGAGGAAGCGGCGTTTTGAGATCAACCCGAAGCGGCTTCTCGACGCAGAGCTAGCTTTTTATTGTTGCGTTCCGCACGCTGTTCAACATCTCCAATAATGCTGGGAGTTTAACTTGATGTTAGCAGTATGACAGTATGTGTTCAAGCAAAGCGTCAGCAGTTAAAACCATGTCACTTTCAGTAAGAGAGCGACGCTTTGAAGAGGTTCTCGGTAACTTAGCAGCAGCAGCCGAAGCCAGCGCCTCAGATAGCACGCTGCTTGGCCTTGCATTTCTGTGGACCTGCAGCGTGGTCATTGTGAGCGTATGAATATTTTGGCTTTCCAGAGAGTGGCTTAATGCAATGTGCAGATGAAAACAAGACCTAAGTAGGTGAACAGTCCCATCTCCAAGAAGGCACATAAGCAAATTAAGTGTGACCAAAAGCTTTAATTCGAAAGGCAGAAGGATTAGGCTGTTTGATGAGCAGATTTAAGGGTGCAGGCAAGGGGAACAAAAAGAAACACTTCTGGCCAAGCGTAATAATCTTTGAAAATGTTCTTTAAACCCATCTCCCTGTGACGTGTATTTTCACTGCACTTCAACCCAACATCTTCCATCCCCAAGATTAAGGGCTTTTATCATGTATCCTCTCTCTCCCATGATTGCTGCTTGATATTTTTGCTTTTGACATCTTCCTCCACACTCGCCTTTTTCCTTCTTTTGCCTCAAAGTGGACTTTAATAGGTTTAGGAAATGTTACATCTTAGTGCACTTACAGACAAGTGTATTACCACTCTACTAAAACACTCCCTCTCTTAAACAAAGTCGTCTGATTTAATCCCTGAAGGTTTCCTTCCGGCGTGTTAGATAAGGCCCACCTCAGCAAATGCTTCCTGGCTGTTTTGTGTTGCTGGATTTCACGACTTTCCTCTCCGTTCCTCTTTCTTTGCAGACTTTTCATACGCCCAGCCTGGGTGACGAGGAGTTTGAGATTCCCCCTATCACACCTCCACCTGAGACGGAGTCCGGTCTGGGTCTGTCAGAGGTGGACTCACCGTTCCCAGCGATGCCAGAGCCCCCAGCTCCGCACAGGGGTCCCTTAATCCCTCAGTTCCCCCCACAGAGCCTGGATCTGCCCTCGATTACCATCTCACGCAACATGATGGACCAAGAGGGGGTGTCTGTCAACAATGGCCAGCCTGTGGTGAGCACTGCTATGCATATGTACCACTAGCAAATCACAAAGTCCATGTATTTTCTGTCTCTTATACTCATTTGTCTGCCTGGTGCTGCACTAGTACAGCTCCAGTGTGTGTCCCACTCATAGCTGCTGCAGCTCCAGATGTGGTTTTTTTTTTTCTACGGTGTATCCAAACTGAAAGATATGATTTTAAAAGCATCAACTATTAGAAACCCCCCGATTTCGATCTTTCAACGAGCCCTTTTACTGAACCATAATGTCACCTTCACAGTTTTCGTGCACCTCCTGTTGTCAGCGCATCTGGCACAGCATCTGGCCTTGTTTACAACACAGGAGGTATATGATCACATTGAGTAAATGTCATGATATTATGTTACTTAGTGTGAGGACTTATCAAAAATAAATAAATAAATGGGAAAAAGGCAGCACCCAGAGCGTGGATGATCCCCTCTTCGTAAGGTGAACAGATGTGAATAGATCACAGGTGTTAGAGTACAAAGCGCATTCATCCCCAGAAGGACAGTGAAAATGGGACCCAAAAGTGCCACAGTTTCGCATGCTCATATTTAATTCATGTTACCTCCAGAAGCCTTTTTTTTTTTTTTTCGCTGTTGTAAATGCTGATACAAGCTTTAGCCTCAATGTCACACGAGGTCTTCAAAAACGACTCACGGTACGTTTAGAGTGTATGTCGTGGCGGCGTAGAGAATTACCCTCCAATAAGGTCGTACCAACATGTTTTTAGCTCCTTTCAAACGATACAGATGGTCAAACATGGAACTGGAGAGTGAATTAATCACTTTCTGTATGTTGATACAGTTGTGTGGTGCAGATTGTGAGACTGTTGTCTGAGGGTGGAAAGGCATTTTCAAATGCCACAATCATAGAAGCACTGAGGAGGAAAAATGGAAATGTCACTGGCTGACTAGTTGTCTTACAGACCTATTACAAAAATGGAAGATTCATTTAGGAGAGAAGGAATGAAAGGACAAAGGCATGAGCGAAGAGATGATGATATTGATGCTGCATTTGCTTTGTGAGTCACAAATCACACTGCATTGAGGAGAGGTGCTATTATCATTACAACTGTGTGAATAAATGAAATGTGCTTTTAGACCTCCCCTCTTTCTAACACATTTGTTGAATCACACTGATATTACAGATATTTATTTACATTCCATATGGGAAGAGGCTATAAAATTTTACAGCTCTTTTCCCTGCTTCCATGCTTCTGGCATGTAAAATAATTGCAGCTTTTAAAATATCTCTGCCGCATACAGTAAGTGATCCCCAGAAGGCTTTTTGCCTAAAGAATTTTCATTTCATGGTCAGTTAAGCTTTCTGCATCTGGAAGAAACGGAACCTTGACACAATTACATTCCTGACTGTTCTCACGACTTGCTGGAGGATTAGATTTGATTCTCAAACATTATTCCTCTTTAACACCATTTGCATGGCTCATGTCTCTGATTGTGCGGAGACTCTATTAAAAACTGAGGGGAGAATGTGGGTTTCTGCTCCTTGCCTCGTGGCATTGTCGTCGGCACACTACTCACTCGTTATCAGTCATCACACATTGTACCGCAGGAAGGCTCGTGGTGGCCCTTCATTTTTCCTGTAAATGGGATTGATCCCCAAAAGTCTTGTGACAATGCCTATAGAAACTCTATTCATCTATGGTTTTATCTTTGCTTTGAAAAGAGAACGCAACTTTTAAATGAGATAAGTAACAGCGCTGTTTGCAGTGCATTCTATATACCGAGACAATGATTTACGAAGGCCCTAAGAGGGGTGTTTTGTCATTTTGTCAGCACACTGATAAAGGAATGACAACCTTATATACATGATTACATTCTGTGTTATTTGTTATGGCTGCAGGGGCAAACAAATAAACCGTGCACTATTGCAATTACATTTTTCATCAAGCCACCATGCTCATATTTCCTAAACACTTGTCTTGGTTTTCTTCCTCTGTGCTGGCTTACTGGTGGAGAATACTTAGTGTGTGTGAAAGCCTGTCTCTTATCAGAACTTAATGAGAAACTGAACCAGTGAATATACCTGGGCTATTTTCAAAAGCTTCTTCCATGTCATTGCATTGCCAAGTGTTCTGCTAATTCCTCTCCCCTTAATGTTCAGCGTATGTCTTGCAAATTGGCCACAGATGCTGGGCTTCTACAAAGAAAAATACATTTTCTCGGCTGCAATGTGCCTGGAAAGCCCTGAATCTGAAGTCATTATTTATTTAATCTGCTCTCCTAACAAGCTTCTGACTCTCATTTTTGTCTCCCAGCATGTGTCCTCCTGATTTGTGATTGAGTCTCAATAGTGCCAAATAGTACTGGAGTTGGAGCTGCCAGTATTGCTTTATTCACAATTTCTTCTCGATTTTCTCCCTGCTGCACAGCAAGGGTCTCTGGGTTCTATTTCAAAAAACACCTGGTGCCTTCACCACATTTTAGATTTTTCTTGACACGTGTAAGCATGTACCGAAATGGGCTCTGTGTCCTCTGTGATTGGATTTGAAACCTACAGTAGTCAACTGGTTGCATTAGATGTTAAAATCAATATTTAGGAGATGTGAGGCCCGCTGTCTTATTACATTTACCACTCCGTAGCGACGCATTATATATTTTTCATTACAAACTAGCTGTTTCACATGTCATTAGCTTTACAGCAGCAGCAGCAGCAGAGATATGCTAATATCTAATAGTAGCGTGTTTTTTGGCCACACGCATCAAGCGAGATGAAAGTGAGGCTGAAAAAGCCATTTGTAGTTTGTTCTTCACATGATTTGATATGCGTTGATACTGTGTAGATTGCCAGTGAGTATAATACCCTCAGTTCTGACTGGTCAAAAACCACTATATCCTGAATCAAATGGAAAATGTGAGCACTGTTGCAGAAAGCATGTTTTTCTACACTTCCCTCTTATCTCCCTTCCAAGCCAAGAAGCACTGACATGAGTTGTACATCAATTTAAGAGAGTGGATTTTTTTTTTTTTTTCCCGCTCCGTTTCTTTTTTTTTTTTCTTTTCCTTTTCTCTCTCGACAGACAGCTATTGTGACATATTGGGTCAGTCAGAAATGAAAGATATTCATGCAGGCATGCAATACTTGTAATGAAGTCTCAGCTTGACCTTCTGCATGATTGATTCTGTAATTTACTTTTCTCAGGCAGCTCTCAAACTGAAATGATGTCATGTTGGACAAGTTTTAAATACCCATAATGCATCAGGAGAAATGGCGGAAAGGGGTATGGGTCAGTGGCTGTACCAGACCAAGGGGAGGGAACCTATTGACCTCACAGTCTGAGGGGGGGGGAGGAGAACAGGGGAGAGAGATTTGTTTTTAAGTGGGGGTTAGAGGTTTGCGAGATAGACTGAGTTTGCACACCACAGAGAGAGAAAGAGAGCGAAGTGTGTTTGACTGAGACAGGGCAGGGGAAAGAAAAACAATTTATCTTCGTGCTATTATAGCCTTTACCGGCATTCAAAATTCCATTTTTCTCATTTGGCTTAAGCACAGACTTCAGCAGGTTGCTGAAAATGGAGGAAAAAAAAAATAAAATGATGTACCCGTTTAGAAGCCGAGTAAAGGAATATGTGCAGAGCGCTGATAAACTATCTTTAATAGGACTGACCTTTCATGCTGGCGAAAGTTACTGGGGGATTCATCCTTATAATTACCATATAGATGATTTTACCCCTCTCCTGCCATGGAACATTTCCAAGAGCTCTGGCATTGATTGAATGGAAATTGAACTTGTTAACATTCTTTTCAGCCTGTTACAGCTTGGTGCCACTGTTCATAAATTCTCCCCAAATTCTGATTTCCAATATCTTTAAGAACAGACCGGAGCCTGTTTTCATTGACATCAGTGTTGAGATTTTTATCACTGGGTGAATGCATAATGTTGCATTCTGAATCCCGTGGCTGTGTTTATTGGCCTGCGTTTATTGTGGAAAGGGTTTCACACATTGTCAATAGTGTATTTTTTTTCTTTCCCTCTTCTGCTAGTTTTCAGAATGCTTTATGTGGCTCTGCGTCGAGTGTTTGCTGTGTTAAGAGTGGTTGAGGCCAACAATAATGTACAAAACAAGCTGTTTCTTCCTCTTTTTTTGCAGCATATTGTTGACAGCATTATTCTGCTGTTACCTATTGCAGCTTCCACATTAAAAGCAACACAATGGGGAATATTACAAACTGAATTTACATTCAAAAAAGCCTTTATTGATTAGAGAGTGCATCTCTGCTGTTGGTGTTTCATATGCAAATGCGCACAGGCAGACAACACACCTAGGCGTGCACACAAATCTGACTAAGGAGGGCACATCTGGCCACTGTGTACTCAAGATAAAGACTTATTTGCAGATTTATGATGACTATCAAAATATCGAGCTAGATGTCTGCTGTGACTGCTGACAATACTGCAATCAAAATGCAAATGAGAAGGCAGAGGGACATAAATAAACATCCGAGTATCAGATTCATATTCACAATCAAGACAACTGTTACTTAAGATGATTTCTTTGACTGGCTTGTTATTAGCTGTTATGTTTTCATTGAAATCAGACGTGCTAATGCCGGCGTTTCACTGACGTAACTGTCACTTCTCTTTTCTAGCATGAGGAGCTAAATTGGTTCTACTCCAGTTAGTGCTGTAATATGTGGTGAAATAAGATATTTAGCAGGCTGTTGAGTGTGATACAATTAAGTGTCTAACTGTGGTCATTACCGCATGTTTTTTTCTTGTGTGTCTGTGTGTGTTTCTTTTTAAATGCACCACATTCAATTTGAAGCCATTTAGAAGAATTCAGAATATTCCAAACAAATGGCAGAATGGGCCATTGCTCTAAGTCAAAACTGCACCATAAGGATTGGGCAAAAGTGTTATTATACAGATGGCCACGACTAATGAGCTCAGTGTGTGCATCTTTGATGTTCACAGCGAGCAAAGAGCAAACGGCGAGCCATCGTGTTCTCAGTAATGAAGATGACAATAGCACTTGGAACATGGCGGGTTGCAGATATGTAAATCACAGTCATTTGGTCGCAGGCTTGTTTATTGCAGCTTTTATTTGCAAGATTTCCATATTTGAAGAATCAACGGCAATGTGTCTTCAATTTCTTCCCAACAACTTTGCCTCACCGTTTGCAGAATCCTGCTCGCACATGTAAATATAAAATCTGCTCTCACTTCATAGATTGTATTTATGATAAGCAGCCGACATGGCATATGAGAAAGAAATGGATTGTAGATCCAATATGTTTCTGTCTGAAATGGTGTTACAATATTGTTTTTGAAGACGGGCATTCATAAGGTTCTTTCAATAAAGCCAGGTGCGTGGGTTTATGATGTGTTGATGTTGGGAGAGATTGAGTTTGTGCTGCTGAATACCAGATGGATGTACCCAGGGAGAACAAATCACCTTTTCTGTTGTGTTCACTTCCCCTTCTCTGTTCCATGTCAGCTCTGCTGGCTCTCTGATCAGTCTTCCCTCTGGAGAGCTGGCAGGCCTCGTAATCTCATCCTCACCACAATCAATGCAAACATGTAGCCTGTACCTTCTTTAAGACTCTTTCAAGAACTGAATGTTTTACCTTGGAAAAGTGAAAGAGACTTTGAGAATGTTATTACATTACAGCCTGCACGGTGGAACGGAGGGGGCCTGTCCAAAACTCTTAAGCTTCATGCCTTCAGCTGCTTGATTTATGGAGTTGATTGCATAGAAGTATTTTTTTTTTTCCCACTCTTTGACAGTCAAACATGATCTATGAAAGCTGCCTCTTTCACAGAGTTATAACCTTAAATAAAGCATGCAGGCTTGTGGCGACCTCAAACTAAACTGACATGTAGGCGCATGCAGACAAACTGAGACTCTTTTTTTTTTTTTTTTTTTTGACTGTGGTGTTTGAAGTTATGTACCACAGTCCACTGTTCCCCTACAGGGACTGTGCACTCTACAGCTGTGTCACAGATTTCCATACAATAGAGTTTTGAAATGAATCAACTGAGCCGTGGAGCCATCTATTACTGGCTTATAAAGTTGGCTCCTCGGGTGTCAAGATAATTTATCATGGTTTGTAATAGAGACATTTAAGACCCAGGACATCGTGACATGTGATCTGCCACATAACAATCCACAGAATCCGATGACCCGATTTCTGCACTGGTAAAGGGATACAGGTTCATGAGCTTGGCAGGAGGGAGCACAGAGACAGAGCCACAACCTCACCGGCTGCATGAAACTATAACACAACTAAAGTTACTTAAATTTTCCTAACAATCCCGCTTTGTGTCACTTTTCTTTCTAGAATGTTGGACCGGGCCATCTACGTCAGTACCCGCCCAACCCAGCCATGGTGATGAAGTCCATCATCAGCATGAACAGCCCCAACGGCATGATATCACGGAATCAGCTGACCACCATCAACCAATCCCAACTCAACGCGCAGCTGAGCTTAAACATGGCAGGACCCAACATCACCCACACTTCCCCGTCACCGCCTGCCAGCAAGTCCGCGACCCCGTCCCCCTCCAGCTCGATCAACGAAGACGACCAGGACGACGGCAACAGGGTGAGCAAAGAGTTAGAAACTGTGTTAAAGGGTAATGAGGAAACCTGCTTGGTGCTGCTAAAGGGCAATTTGTTAACTTCTTTATCTCAACTATTGCCATCATTTCAGGTCATTGGAGAGAAGCGGCCAGCCCCCATAGATCCCACAAAGAAGCCCAAGACTCCCAAAAAGAAGAAGAAGAAGGATCCCAATGAGCCCCAGAAGCCGGTGTCTGCTTATGCTCTGTTCTTCAGAGACACCCAGGCCGCCATCAAGGGTCAGAATCCCAACGCCACCTTTGGAGAAGTGTCCAAGATCGTGGCGTCCATGTGGGACGGTCTGGGAGAGGAACAGAAGCAGGTACTACGAAATGTACTTTTCCAGACCAGTCTAACCATCATCTGGAATAATTCACAGAAGATGAGATCATCAGAGAGATAAATTTAGACGGAAAAAAAAATGTACATCGAGCGTGCCATCTGTTTAATGTATTCCATGCTGCTTTAAGTCATTATATTTATCACTGAATAAGAAGAATTTGTACTCACACATATTTTTTGTCATCACAGGTTTACAAAAGCAAAACAGAAGCTGCCAAGAAAGAATATTTAAAAGCCCTCGCAGCGTACCGTGCTAGCCTGGTTTCCAAGGTGAGACAGTGTTTCTTCTTTTCACCTAGAAATGTGTGAATGAATTTACTCAGAATTCTTTATATGTGTGAAGTTTCAGAGGACTTGTAATTACTGAAACAACGGAAGCAGGTCCAGAAACTATACAGTACACCGCTACAAACTCTGACTTTGTAAACAATTTTGCATATGTTTCTCTTTGTCAAGGCTGCAGCAGAATCAGCTGAGGCCCAGACGATCCGCTCAGTGCAGCAGACTCTGGCCTCCACCAGCCTGTCCCCTGGCCTGGTGCTGCCATCGCCCCTCAACCAGCACCCCTCCATGCCATCAGCTTCCCAGGCCCTCCAACAAGCCCTGCCAAGGGCCATTGCCCCAAAGCCCCTGCAGATGAGACTAGGGGGCAGTCAGATCGTAACCTCGGTTACAGTTTCCCACCAGAACATGTCCTCCGGGATGCCCCCGCAGCTGCTCGGCCAGATGGGTGCCGGAGGGGCCATGGTGGCGGGTGCCCAGTCCACAGCGGTGTCTCAGATGAGCCCACCCATGCAACCGGTGCAACAACATGCGATGCAGCAGCTCCAGCAGCAGCAGCAGCAGCAACAGCAGCAGCAGATGCAGCAGCACCTCCAGCACCATCAGATGCAGCAGCAGCAGATGCACCACCAGCAGATCCAGCAGCAGATGCAGCATCAGCATTTCCAGCACCACCTCCAGCAACAGCTGCAACAGCACCACATGCAGCAGCAGCAGCAGCAACAACAACAGCAACAGCAGCAGCAGCAGCAACAACAGCAGCAGCACATGCAGCTGCAGCACATGCAGATGCAGCATCAGCTGCATCAGCAGCAGATTCAACATCTCCAGCAGCAGCAGCAGCAGCAACAACAGCAACAGCAACAACAACAGCAGCAGCAGCAGCAGCAGCATCAGTCCCAGTGTTCCCCACCCCAGCACTCTCCTGGTACACCCCATTCAGTGGGAGGCTCTACTTCCCTCGGCAGCCCCCAGCCAGCCCCGCAGCAGCAACCACACCCCTCCCAAATCCAGGCCCACGCCCAGGTCCTGTCCCAGGTCAGCATTTACTGAGCCAAATGGAAATCCTATCTCAAAGAACAGGAATAGAATAAAAGCATCATTCCACGTTGCTTTTCTAAGTTGCACTTAAGAAGTGTTTAAGATTTAGAATGTTATACAAAGAACTTGTCCATCGTTATAGCCAGATATGCACATGCGTGTACAGGAGGTAAACATGTTAGCTGGGTTTTTGTCTATAAAATAGGCTGCGCTATGACAGAAGCCTGTTGGGGTGAGCACCCAGTGATTGTTTATTTGTTTGTTTGTGAGGTCTTTCAGTTGTCAAGTTGAACTGACTGGGCACACAATATGTTGAAAGATGTGTATCTTTCACTGTTTTATTTAACAATAAAGCTTTATTTATGAGGCCAGAGTTGGACAGTGTAAGGACATTCTGAATGCGTTTCAGCAAAAAAGGATTTTTATCAGCTCTTGCCTGGACTGAATGACTCACAGGATCCTTGCTGGAAACCAGTAACCCACACATCAGTCTTTGTTCCCACACTGGCCAGTATATAGCAGACTTTCTTTACTCCAACCTTTCTCTTTCACCCATCCTTCTCGCAGATGTAACTGTTCAAATCATCACACGTTGGAGGCTCAGCGATAGTCGAACGTACGTTTATAAATCATGTTACAAACACAGACAATGTCTTTAGAAGAGGGGAACTGATAATAAAAAGGTTTCGGGATGCAGATCTGTGGATGAACGACTGAACAGACGGAGACAGAAACTGCCATAAATCATTTACGTCATCACATCATCAAACTGTAGCTGTAATCTGCTGTACATGTTTTGTAGAGTGGGGAGAGATGAGACCTCCTTTACCCAGTAAGATAATTTGCCCAAAATCGTGTAACTGGCAGCACTCTTCCCCCCCCTCCCCCCCGAAAAAAAATTCTTCTTTAATCTATTTGTTTTTACTTCAGATGTTTAACAATTAAATTATGTTTTTATTTTGTGTAACAAAGGGGATATTTTATGGTAAATACAAATTTCCGGATCAAGGCAGATGGTTTGGGGATTGATGTATTTTTACTCTGCTCCTTGATACTGTCATTGTTTTAAAAAAAGAAAACTAGCAGAGCCAGTTTGTTGCACTGCCAAAGCCAACTAAAAAGGCATCGGAGGTATTTTTGCCAGCTGTACAGAAGTCCCTGGAAAAAAAACAAAAAAAGAAAATGTTGTACATTTTTCATATCACCTGTTGTAAAGTTTTAATATGTGAGGCTTTAATTAAAACATTGTTAAACGACCTGTGGATTGCTATATCACATAGTGCATTTCTGCTCTTTTATACTTTTTTATGAGTTACAATAGCAGCAATTAATTTTGTTTGTATTTTTGCTTATAAACCAATTGCATTTGAAAAACTGTCCATAGAATAAATGCATATTGGTATGGAGTTCTTGGAAAAAAAGTTGTTTTCAGCTCACGATAGAAAAAGTAATTTAATGTTGGAGTTCTTTGCTCAGCCATGAAGACGAATCCGGAGACATTCCATCACTAATATGATAGTAGCCATAATTTTGTATGAAGTATTATATATTTCTTTGTGTCTCTGTTCAAAATTAAACTATCAATCACAAATATTTATTTGAAGGAATCGGTTTCTTTCAAAAGTTAGCCATAATTTCTATGGGGTTCCTCTTGACGTCTCCTTGTACGCTACTGAAAAGAAATACGGTGATAAATATTCATAGCGCTCGGTTCTCTACGAGATATAAACAAACAAAAAAAGAATCAAATAAATTTGTATGTTTTCTATGGAGTAATTCTATAAGAGAAAAGATACTTGGCAGGGATATATGAGCATTGGTGTTGGAATTATTATAGTGTGTGCTGTTTCTCAGTGATTTGAATGGAAGTTCATTGTAACTGTGTGTAAAAAAAACAGTGTTGATACTGGACAAGGTCAGCATGTAACTGGTACTTGTCTCAATAACAGTCCCCTTCTCACACACCAGTGCATTGGATTCTGCCTCTTTCTTACTCCCTTCAAAATCGCTTCATTTCCAAGACATCCCCAGGGGTTTGCTGAGCTCCCTTGAATAATATGGCGAGCGGGGGAGGGAAGGCAGGCAAACAATAATTATCATATCTTCACAATAGGCTGTGAATCCACTGGCCCAGAGAAGGGCCCTTTTTTTTTCTCTCTCTCTCTCTCACCAACGGCAGCTGAGACATTTTAAACACGGGTTAATGTTAGTTACAAATTAGGAGAGAATTTGCTCCTGAGCTTCTGTGATAGCAGCTTGATAGAATTTTCAAATTTTGGTTTGTTTTCAATTAGTTAGTTTTAGGAAAAGCATTTGTAATTTTGGAGCCGAGGCCTGCCTCCGCCGTTTCTGCCGCCGCGCTGATTGGCTCTTCAGCTCGCCGTGGAAACGATGCCCATTTCTCTGCCGTGATTAATTGCAGCATCTGTCCTGTCAGAAGCCCGAGTGAAGAGGTCTGCAGGAAAACTGCAAATAAGCGCTGGCAACAGTCTTAAAGTGCTTATGATGAAATGAAAATTAAAAACAGCAAGTGCCGTGCATGACCTGAATCTCAATACAGGGGGAGAAGAGGAGAATGTGAGAGCGGGTGTCCATGGATACCAAACACATGCTTTAAAAACACACAGTAATGAGGCTCTGGGAAATCGCTGTTATTATTCTGAACAGATTCACAGCAGAGCCCATTAATAATGCATGGAGCTCCTTGTTATTCCATAACCCCTCAGTACTGCGGTCACTGTGTGTACAAATATCTCACAGCCAGGGTTGGAGTTATGGGACTGTGCAATAAAAAGGTTACAGATATTTTCAAAACACTGTTATACACACACATAATTTACAAGAATAATACACTGCTCCTCCTATAATGGAGCCTGGTTTAATTTGAATAGGTGAATAAATAAATTTCACCTGCTTTGTGCACCAGACTGTTGTTTCTCTAAGATTTTTTTTTTTTTTCTCTTCTGGCAGTGAGATATGATATGATCACAGAAGCATGAAGCAATCAATATCTTATGCGCTACTTTCTTCCTGTCCTCATCATTAACTAACGCTGATGAAACGCATGAAGGGCACTATGACATTAATATGTCATTTGAGTAATGCAATCATGAGGTGACCTAATTGTCCCACTCTTCCCCGCTGAGGTCAGTTGCTCGGCACTGTGCCGAGGATGACTAAGGAGTCAGATGTGGAAGCTAAGGGATTCTGTATTTTAATGATTTATTTGGCTCTTTTGTTGTTTTCCCGTTCAGTGCACAGATACAATGCGAGCGTAACAAAAGCCCTGCTGACACTGGCCATCTGACCATCAGACCCACGCTGCAGCCACTCTCACAGTCTGGTCGCAGATGCAGAACCTGCCACTCTGCTCTGACAACCTCAACTCTGTCTCCTTCAGGAAAGAAAAACAATATAGCCTCTTTTTTTTTTTGCCGTGATAAGAGCTAATCCATGAGAGTGCAGAGACAGCTGACCCCACAAGTCCAATGCCAGGCCTTGTTTACAAGGGGAGCTACCTCCATTCAAATGGATGACTACGTTTAAGGAATTCTTGACCTTGCGTTGATGAGCTTCACGAAGAGAACTATTGACCTCTGAGATGAATAGTGAACTTTGTTTGGGGGGTTGAGCTGTGCTCGCTGGCTGGACTGTTGACATCCCTGACCAATGGTAGCGCTTGTTTAGAGAACTTTTGACCCGGCAGACTAAAGGAGTGCCACAGACGATGCCTCCGAGCAAAGTTAATAGCACATTCAGTGGGGCTAGTATAAATATTATGATGCCCTCGTACAACCCTTTTTGGTAATCTCGGGGATGTCAATTCTCCTGTTCAGGCCTTTTAATTCTAATTAAATAAAAACAAGACACTGCTCATTATTATGATTTATCAAACACATGCTAAATATGCATTTCTTTTGTTGCAGTGAATATGAGCGTTAATGATCTTATATCCATTCCCTTGGTCCTTCTCTGTCTTTTTCATGTTTCACAACCACAACGCATCATGCATGTGTACACATACTTTCCATCCTTGGATTTTTTTTTTTCCCCCAATGACATTGCCTTGGAGACAGTGATTCAGCCATTATTAGGTTTATCCCCCACTTCTGTTGAGTTCTGTTCAGGTAAGTGTGATCCGGCAGCCTCGTGACCTCTGTCAGCCTGTGCACTGTTACACCATCACAGCTCTGATACATCCTGACTAATAGCAATCAGGGAGCATCCACTGCTCTCATCTGTGTTCTGTAATTGCTGCTGCTGTTAATGACTAATCCTCTTTCCTCAAAGTAGTAAATGATTAACAGTATGTAATCATTATCAATAGGGGATTGAGAGTGATCACGATGTTCTCTTACGTAACGTTGGAAGCATACATTTTGCATGAATCATACTTTCAATCAGAATTCCAAACGGTGGGATTTTCCAATGCTAATACCGACGACTTTTAAATACATCTGAGTCTATATTGTGCCGGAAGCCAGACTGAGAGCAGATAAGCAAAACGCTATTATCCTGCTGTCAGAGTCATAAAGGTCAAGGAATAAACATGTAAAGCCCAAAGAAAAACTGTTTATTGGAAGCAGTTGTAACAATAACATCAGTGAACATATGAGTGAGAAGCTGGTTTGTTTCACATTGTTATGGTTAGCCCACTATGTTATTGTGCATTGTCAGTATTTTTGCAGACCAAATGCATCTGGAGCATTTATCCTCAGTTGAGTTATACAGTCGCTCCAAATAAAAAAAAAAAAAGAAAAGAAAAAGAAAATGCTCAGCAAGCTGTCAGTGATTTGAGAAAGCTTTCTTTATTGTGACAGATCATCATGCCCCAGAGGTTGACAGATGTCCCTGCATTGCATGGAAACGATAGCAGTTTCTTTTTATTTGGACTTTGTTTGGTTTAAGAATGTAAAATCCAGCTCGCTCTCCCCCCGCTGCCACTTTCCGATTTATTTCATCAGTATTTTATAGGCTTTGTGTTCAGCAGAGGATCCCAACTCTGAAATTGCCTTTTATTGCAACTTACTTAGCCTGTTAATGTAGGCTATTACCGAGCCAACATGTTTCTATGGCAACAAAACTGATAAAGTGTACCAGGAGACTAGAGTGATAGATTACACGTGCACGCTGTGTCACATCCAATTAACTCAAACTGACTGTACACCACATTATGCCACGACTTTGCAGGAAAATCAATAAATATGGACGGTACCCAACAAGGTTCCCCCTCTGTTTCTTTCTTTCATCCCTTACGATGGCAGTGAAGCCAAGACAGATCATGCCACTAGGATGTCCCTGCTGCTACAAGAGGCAGGTGCTGTGTAGACACCATTCAAAACTTGGCCTATTCAGTCCAACTCCTCTAACGCTCCATTCATGCATAGCAAAACACCATCTGCTCCTGTTTTGCCCGGAGCAATCACAGCTGACCAAAAAAAAAAAAAAAAGAAAGGAAAAAAAAAAAGAAAAAGAAATCCATGATAACAGCTGTTGCCAAACAAAAGGGGGTAGGAAAAGGTTAGAGACAAGTTCGACACCAAAAATTACTCATTGGAGAGGGCGAAGGAAAACATTTACTCTTGGTAATAGTCAGGGAAATGGGATGCCATCCAGCAGAGAGACGGGGAAAGGGTTAAACGTGAGGTGTTCGGTCTGCGAGCCTGGCAGACTTGCAACAGTACAGGATCAGGTGATAATAGATTCAAGCTGAGGATGATTCTTTTACACAGTCAATTCTCAGGGTGCAGAAGCAGAGGCAAATGAGCCATAGAGTCTCCTCGCAGTGTATGAAGCTATCTGAGGTAGATGCAGGCTGAGATACGCGCAGAACATCAAGGACCTGCGTGTTGCTGTTGTTCTTTATGCTGTAGATCGCTGTTGGCATTGAAATGGGACTGATTCAGGCTGTAGCCAACAATAGCTTTCATTAGCAAGTCATCTGTTGATTATTTTCTCAATTAACTTATTAATTGTTGGATCCTAAACGTGGAGAAAATCATGTGAAATATCACATTTTCCCAGATTCCAATTGCATTAATTTAAATTGACTTAAATAAATATACAGTGTGTAATAATATCATACTACATATGTAAAACCAGATTGTATTTATTATAAGTAACTCCCCTTGCACAGAAACAAAAGGCCACTTTCCTATTATTTCATTATGTAATGGTTTAATTATTAGCCATTCATTAGCCATGTTTTATTGTACCAAATGTAACACAAAGATCACAAACAAATGACATGAGCACTATGAGCTTTACCTTCCTAATTGTAGATTTTTAGCGCATATACATAGTTAAGTTCTGGCAGATTACACAGAAAATCTCAAATAATAATTCACAAACATGAAAATTTAGATGGCAATAATTAGGATTAGTTCTGCACTGGGGAAAATATATTAATTAACAAGGGATAAAGGGATAAAAATACATGCTTCAGCGAGGCTTATAGTTTCCGTCCACTCGCTGCTTAACTGCTGCATTGTGATGTGATTGGCAGCGGTTCCTCGACCCTGTGAGGCCTAGTTTGATCTAATGTATGGCTGCTGACCTGGGGGAGGGGCCGCGAGCGAAGGTGAAAGACCGAACAGCTTGCATGCCTCCAGACCTCAGCTGCCCATGCAGACGGGGAGCCGTAAAACCACTGTTTGAGCCACATAGAAGTGTCACGGTGGCCATATACAAATCTGACAGGAGCTCAAATGCACCTGATACACAATACAGCCGTTAAACAGCGGCCTGAGAGGGAGCAAAGTTAAGGTGGAGGACGAAGAAGAAGAGGAGGAGGAGGAGGAGGAGGGAGGCATCAGTAAATGATGATGATCTTACCCATGGTCCCCATGGGGATAATTAAGTTTTATCTTATCGTACCTTATGCTGACTATGAACAGACCTGGATCTAATTGCATTTGCACATAATTCATAACATTAAAATAATTCCTTGACCTCACAGTACCAGATG